CGAGAAGAAGAGGCGCTTACACGCGTTTCTTGCCGACAAGTCACCTAGTAGCTGGCGTAAGTGAAAAGAAGCGAAGAATGTAGCGAAGAAGGCTGTGGCTGCAGCAAAGACCGCTTACTTCGAAGATGTCAGTAAGGAACTCGATTCTTGTGATGGTGAGCGGCACGTCTACCGACTTGCCAAGGCTCGGCATCGTCAGACCGAAGATATCGAGAAACTTCCTGGCGTTAACGACGAGCTTTTGATGGACCGAAAGAGGGTGCTGAGGCGATGGCACGACTTCTTTGAGAATATTTCAACCGTAGATATGCGCACCCGGCCATCTCTTTCGTCCCCCAGTATACGGTCCCGTTCAGAAAGTAACCGTAGAAGAGACGAAGGCGGCTCTCAGGAAGATGAAGTCAGGCAAAGCAACAGGACCTGACGATGTGGCAGCCGACTTGTGGAAGGCCCTGTACAGTGGTTGACGGAGTTCTTCAATCAGGTTGTTGCTGAGAAGGAGGCGCCCGAGGACTGGCAAGAGAGCACGACCATTCCGATTTGGAAGAAGAAGGGCAGCCCTGCTGGAACTACCGTCCAATTCGCCTGCTGTCACACAGTATGAAGATCTTTGAGCGTATTATTGACAGTCGTATTCGCGAAATCGTCCAGCTTTCTATCAATCAGTGTGGCTTTGTGGCAGGCTGTGCCATCGACGCCATACATGCGGCGCGTCTTCTGTCGGGACATTGTGAGAAGCAAGTACACCTGCATCTAGCTTTTCTGGACGTAGAAAAGGCATTCGACCGTGTTCCGCGTGAAGTTATTTGGTACACGGCAACACGGCGTTCCGGAAGAGCTTGTTGAGTGGGTGCGCATCCTGTACTCCAGCTCAAAGAGCCGCGTGGATGCACCATCAGGCACCAGGACTTTCCCATCACAGTCGGAGTACATCAAGGCTCTGCGTTATCTCCACTCCTTTTCGTGGTCGTCTCGGATGCAATCTCGCGGGATCTCCAGAAAACCGAGTCCTTGGACGCTCCTCTACGCAGATGATGTGGTGCTGGCCAGTGAAGATAAGAACGAACTCGAACAGCAGGTGCAAGCTTGGTCTGGTCGTCTGACAAAATTCGGACTGAAGTTGAACATCAAGAAAACCGAGTACTTGATGACCGATACAAATGAGTCCGATTCCATTAAGATCAGTGGCATCGAGCTCACACGCACAAGAGCCTTCAAGTATCTTGAATCAGAAATTGTGTCCGATGGCAGTTTGACCTCAGAGGTGAACTCTCGTGCGAGTGCAGCATGGGCAAGATGGGGCTCGATGACTGGAGTTCTGTGTGACGAGGCCATACCGGAGCACCTCAAATCGAAGATTTATAGAACTGTGGTTAGGCCAGTAGCGTTGTACGGGTCTGAGTGCTGGCCTGCAACCAAGGAAGTAGAAGCCCACCTTAAAGGATAAAAAGGATAAAGTCTTTGCCGTTGATCAATCCCCTTGTGGGATGCGACACGCATTCTACTTCCATTCAGAATCGCAGTGGCTCATTGAATGCGATGTGGCCTATCCAATGACTTGCGGGGGCCTGCCGATGTGCAAGTCAGTGTTTTATCCTCCCAGACGAATCTGGTACTAATCTACCGTCCCGGGTAGAAGGCTTGGTTGGCCTGGGCGGGTGTCGACCCGGGATTCGAACCCGGCGCCGCGCGAGTGGTAAGCGTGCCACTTGTCACTACACCACCTCCGCCTCGAAGCCCACCTTAGTGATGGAAATGAAAATGCTACGTCGGACGGCCGGTGTCACCCGTATGGATCGGATTTGCAACGATGACATACGCAAGAAGTTTGGCGTAGCTTCCATAGCTGATAAAATGCGAGAATCTCGTCTCCGATGGTATGGCCACGTACTTCGCGCGAAGGCGGATACCGGCTGCAGAACTGGTCTCCAGCTTGAGGTGCTCGGCAAACGACAGAGAGGACGCCCCAGGCAACGTTGGCTCAACACGCTGCACCGGATTTGAAGATAGTTGGTGCTCACCCTGATCAGAATTCGACCGCTCTGACAATACGTGAATTAAAGATCCTGTTGAAGGGTATCTCATTAAATAGTCTGCTCTTGAAACTGACTTCTATGTTATGAAAGTCCTTTCTGGCAATTTGTTTTGTGGTAGTATCAAAGTGAAAGTGAGCTAGCAGGCTAAATATCAAATACCTGGCCTTATTATTCACTCTCTGCAGGAAACCTGCAGACATGGAGAGTTCAATTAGCTTGTTAATTTCTTTCTTACGCAGACTATTGAGCATTCTGTAGTACTGAATAGGTTTGAATGTTTCACTATTCTTCTTCTTCTTCTTCTTCTTCTTCTTTCTTCTCCCTAGCGTTTAGTCCCGCGCCGTCGCAGGGTCCGCTGTTCTTATTACACGTCGCCACTTGTTCCTATCCACTGCATCTTCTGCTGTGGCTTTCACTTTGGTGTAGGTCCCTCTGATGACGTCCCTCCATCTTTTCTTTGGGGCTCCTCGTGGTCGCTTGCCTCTTACCTCGAGTTCCAATGCCTTCCTTATTGGGTGGTCTTCAGGCCTCCTCAGTATGTGCCCATACCATCGCAGTCGCTGCTCTCGTGCTTTCAGCTGGATCGGGGCCGTCTGTGTGACCGCCCTGACATCCTCGTTTCTGACTCTGTCGAGTCGTGTCCACCCGCACGCCCATCTCAGCATCCTCATTTCAGGCTGAATGGAGCTGCCTTCCATGGTTCTTGCAGATGGGCCAGCACTCACTACCGTAGGCATTGTAGGCCTTACTACCGCCCGGTATACCTTGCCCTTGAGTGTTCTCGAGCACCGCCGGACGCACACGATTCCTGTGGACTCCCTCCATTTCATCCAGGCTGCGTTGATTCGGGCTTTCACGCCTGCTCCACGCTGCCATCAGCTGATAGGTGGCTTCCCACGTACTCGAAGTCTTCGTCCCTTTCGATGCTCTCGCCATAGCAGCCTACGATGGATTCGGTACACTCTTCGGAGCTCAGGAACTTGGTCTTTTTCGCGTTCACCCGGAATCCCAATCTTAGCGAGCATATCCTGCCACTGCTGCCACCTTGTCCTGGAGTTTGTCCCTGCTCTCCGTTATCAGGGCGATGTCGTCAGCGTAGAGGATGGTTTTCAGTGGCCCCTCCATGAGTTCTTTTGCCATGACATCTAGATCAGCATGTAGTGTCAGGAGGAAGAGGAATGGGCTGAGGGCTGATCCTTGGTGTACCCCAACCGTGATGTCAATCTCCTTCGTCAGGTCGTGCGCGGTGCGTACAGCTGCTTTAGCCCCATCGTACATGTCCCTCACTATAGAGATGAGGTGTTCCGGAACGTTACGTTCTCTGAGCGCTCTCCAGAGCACAGGCGTAGGCAAGCGGTCGAATGCCTTCTCAAGGTCCAGGAAGGCTAGGTAGCAGGGTCGCCGCTTCTCTCCGTACTTCTCCATCAGCTGCCGGGCGATGAAGATGGCATCGGTGGTGGACCTCTCGGGCATGAAGCATCAGCACTTCAGACATCTCCTTCTTTTCGCATTCAACAGATGTATTGAAGCTGCTGATACTGCTCGGAAAATTTGCGAAGTGTATGGAGAAGATGCCCTCCCTCTCAGAAGAGCCCAAAATTCGCTCAAACGCTTTAAGGATGCCAACTTCAACCCTGCGAACGAGAATCGCGCCGGACGCTCTGACGACTTTGATGAGGACCGCCTCAGCCATCCTGATCGGTGGGAGGAGGTTGTAAGAAACAATGAGGGATATATCATTGACTAGTTTATTGTAAATATCTACATTTTTTATAGTGTTGTGAACACTATGTTTGAATTTTGGAGGAAAACAAAAAAAAATCGTGCGCTAATTCTTACCGACCTCACGTTCCTTAAGGATAACCTGAACTTAACAGAAATCATACAGTTCCGGAGAACTGACTTTCATGTTATGTTATAGAACACGAAATCGGCTATCAGATCATATAAAACACATTAGCGAAACATTCACATGTTAGTATAAAATTCGTGGAAAACGGGAACGCTAGTTCTCATCGACTTCACGTTCCGTAATGATAACCTGAACTTAACAGGAAGCAAAGAGCTCTGGAGAAAAGATTTCCATTGCAGTGTTATAGAGCACAAAATTTACTATCAGAACATGCAAAACATGTCAGCGAAACACTCAAATGTTATCATAAAATTTCAGGTGGAACAGATGTGAGCTGCCCAATATCAGCGAAGTGAACGTCGGCAACTTCAAAATTCTTGAAATTCGTTACAAAGCGTCCTAGTGAGATTTCCTTGCTGGAACTTCTAGCTCAACCTTTTCCAAATGTATCAAGCAGCTTAAGCGATTTTAGCACTTCCTTCGAGTATACGTAAATCGGGGCAGTTGTCGAAGACGCTAATTTTCGCCGACTTCGCTTTCAACTTCAACGACTAAAAAATCCATAAAAATTATTTCCTCAACCGGAGCTGTTTTGATATACTTATACTACGAAAAGTTTCCTATCAGATGATATCAAGCTTGCTAGCAAAACATTTCATCTTTGGAACGAAATTTCCGGTTGAAAAAACGAAAGTAGTTATGTGCCAACTCAATAGTTAGCATCTCTTCAAACTACCATATTTATTCAACACAGTAATGCAGCAACAGATAACACAAAAGATACGATTCAAAATGTACACGTCAATAATTCCACGCGACAAAAGGCTCTTCTGAAGAAAAGTTCAGAACGGCCACAAAATGAACAAAACTATTAATAAGGCTCTTCGAAGGTATCGCAGTTCCAACAAGTGTGATGGTGATAAAGGACACGATGATACTGCCGCACCCAAAAGTAAACGAAAATCACTCCAAAAACAAAAACCACTCACCATGTGAGCAAGCAGTATCAAAATTTTCAAAAAAAAGCTACAGTATGAAGAAAGTGGGCAATCTGAAACAAGGAGGACAAGTCTAGTGTAAAAAGAAAGCGAAACTCCTCGGTGGGAAGGATCCTATACGCTAGCGTATCCCTGACGTTTCGCGCGAGCTCTTCCAATGAGATAAGCTACAAGAACGATGACGACAAGTCCAGCAAGACATGCCCCAACAACAATTGGTACGATATCAGAAGTACGTGAGTCCAAAAGGCACTGTTCGAAAGCTGGAAAAGAATCGTTAAATAGTGTGATGCGAAATGGCATTTCTACAAATACCTTGCTCCTTCGGGAAATTAGGAGTTTCCAGTGCTGCGAAAGCGACTACGCGCACATTCTTCATGACGATCATTGAATCATTTGAGAGAGATAGATCGGAAGTTGAGCACTAGAACGGAGCTTTCTCTCGTCTAACTAAGGTGAGGAAGTGAGTTGGAAAAAAAAATGATGTCAGGAGTGAAACAGTCCATGGACGGAACGAAAAAAAGCTACCGCAAACATAAGGCAGCGTTCAGACTTCGCGACGGCATGCCTCGGTCGCGCGATCGATGCGCATGCTTTCGACTGCATCGATCGCGCCGAACGCGCGACTGAAGCGCTGCCGTCGCGAAGTCTGGACGCTGACTAAGCGAGCTTTTCATCAGCTCGCTGCTTTGATAACCAATTTGCTGAGGACTGTGGGCATGAACTACAATCCTTCCCACTTCGATCTATCAATCTGGAACTGCAACAATTTGGCGAATTCTCAATATTGTGAAAAGCATACCTTAAACGCGTTTTTCTCGTGACCCTGAAGATCAATTTGAGAACCAGACTTTATGAACGCATCTGAAAAATTAAATAGTACAACGATGATGAAGAAGAAGGATGATCCTAATTTCAAACACAACGAGGAATATTGACATACATATAGATGAGCCATTCATTCCAATGACAGGAGCTGTAACCACTGTATAATCGAGCAGCTCGAATGTGGTAGTATTACTGTGACCGAAAATCATCTTCATTTCCCAAGGTTGAGCGGAAATGGCCGGGGTGTTGTTTCCCAACGGAAAGAAGCTGATCTGAACACGGAAATATTTGGCACTTTCAGTCGCAAATTCGCATTAACGAATCCTCTTAAGATAGCTGGCACTGAAAACATGTTATCCTACTATATATAATCGGCTATATCCGCGTGTGTGCGTGTGCGTGTGTGTAGATCTGTCTGTTTGTTTGTTTATTTGTTTGTCACGAAATTCATAGCACCTGAAGAACAACTTGGAGGGATCGGGTTATAGTGGAGATGGGTAGAGTATGGGACAACATACTCTACCCGTCTCCACTATGACCCCTACGTAAATAGCACCCGTGAACCATGGTAGGCCCCGTCCACAGTGGGCGGGGTGTGCGCTGAAAGCTAGCGATGTCGCTGAAACAATCATAACTCGGTTCCAGAGCAGTCCCGAGATGGTGGAACAGGCATTAAAGTTAACAAAGGACTAACAGACCAAATGGAGGAGACACAACTGAAATGCGGCATCCCGTGTCACTGAAAAAAAAACCTCAATTTGGCTACAAAGCAGCTTGGAAACGGGAAAAAGTGCAATAAAGTCAGCACTGAGTCGGCAGAGCAAATGGAGGACACGCACCCAAAAAAGTTCAGAGATTGCAGAAAAGTCCATGATGAAGATGAACATTTGGCAAGAGCCCAGCATGTTTGCGGCGTGCTGATGCCTGCCCACAGTGGGCGGGGCGTGCATTTGAACACGAGATACCACTTTAAGAAATCGTCGTTGTTTTTCCTAAAGCACTACAGACGGCTCAAAAGAGTGGATTATGGTCCCCAAGTGATCACATGTTTGAATGTGCGAGGCACTCCCGTATTAGGCAGAGTGTGCCCCTAGGTGGGTGGGGCGAAAGGCAGAAAAATTCGTAAAACGCTCCCAGAACACTCCAGACACCGGGAAAAAGAGGTCTGAGATCAGTGACGGGTCATTCGTTCTTGAGTGTGAGGCACACCCGCTGTGGGCGCAGCGTGCGGCGAGATGGTCGAAGCTAAATTGAAAAAAAACTCCTAAAACGGTTCCAGAGCACTCGAGACACCGGGGAAAAAGTAGCTTAAAGTCATCGAGAGGTCACCGGTTCACCGGTTCACAAATGTGAGGCATAGTCAGTGTGAGGCAGGTTTTGTGTGGAACGTGCGTCGAGGTGATCGGGGACAGTCTTGAAGAATTCTCAAGCGGTCCCAGATCACTCCAGGCACTTCAGACCTTCTTTGCGATGTGGTAAGGCTTTGCGGGGCGTGGCTAAATCGCGCCTACCTGCATTCGCATGACCCAGTGCTCGACTAATACCCGGCTTTTCTCTCATCTGTCTACTTGACAGCAATCCCTACCACCATTCCATACACCGTAAGGCAGCGTTCATAATTCGCGCTCTGCTACCTTCCGACGATCGCGGCGATCGCGGCGACCGGAAGGTGGCAGAGCGCGCCCCAACGCCATTAAAGGACCGCTCGCTTGATAACTGAGAATCCAACTTGTAAGACCTCTTTTCTCTTAATAATGGCTACTAACTGATAACTTACGACTTTCGATACATAAGCGGATCTGGAATAAGAGGTAAGAAGGACTCCTTTTTAGGTCGGGATAAGGCCAACCCCATTTACTGGGTGAGCTTGAGCTTTTGTTTCTTTTGTTTTTATTGTTTCAATTTATACAGTCGCCTTAATAGTTCCTATCGTCTGAACTGTTCCAACTCACAAAACATTTATAGTTTACAAGTCAAGTTCAAACAACGAAGAAAAAAAAAGAAACAGAAGGAATTTCACCTAGGAACCAAAACACTAGTCATTTTACGCAACATCAACAGGTGAAAACTTTATAACCTCGTGTATAAGCTCGACGAATGAAAAAAAGGAAACAATAAAAACCTACCCTAAATGAAGCTTCAACGATTTTTCTATCCTGAATCAAGAAAGAAAATAGAAAACAAAAGCCGTTAGGTTAGGTTCACCTTTCTTTGTGTCAAACCAAGCTTCAGTACCTAAGAAAATTGCAGTCAAAGGATAAAGAGCATGAAATTGAGTCGCTTCTCCCTAAAAGCCTTCGGAGCGGTCCAAGTAATATGTAGCGTTGGAGCGCGCTCTGGCATGTACCGACGATCGCGCCGATCGCCGATGTCGCCGCGATCGCCGCTGCTGTCGCGAAGTATGAACGCTGCCTAATAGTGTTGAAAATATCAGATTTGATGTATTGTTCAAAGAATGTTGACCATCTGTTCAGATAAAAAGCCGGATGCTAGGCGGGTATTGAAATGTGTGGAAGAAGCTAAGTGCGGCACAGCCGCGCCTGCCTGGCGAAGCCATGTTGTGTCTCAGAAGGAGGCGTGCAGGCGTTAGCCGGCAAAGCCGGCTGGGTCCAGGAAAACGTCTCTGGACGTTTATTACTTTGTGGACAGAAATCGCAGCATTCCCCTCTAAAAAACAACATCACCTACCTTTAACGACTGAGCAGTCTGATTTCCATAAGTATCAACACATTTGCCGCTTACAGAAAGTGTAGAGTTGACAGGGACATTGTACGCGTTGGTAGTACCATTCTGAAATACACAATGCACTGCATACGTGGTAGGGTAAGACTGACAAGAATAGATATCTTCTGAAAAACATACAATCATTCACTGGCAAACAGGGTATGATCGAGCTACGCCTTGAAATTGACACAATAGCTAGATTAAAGTCTCACAGTACGACCACCTAAACGTAGAGGTCTTCGTAGAATTTAATAAAGTGTAAGTTATAGCGCCTCGAAAGTCAAGGAAGAAAAAAGGTTTTTTGGCCCCCTGTACGTAGAAGGACCAGCGCCGGCGGGCAGACTGGACCAGTGACCGTGGGTTAAAGGTATGGCTGCCTATATACTCAGACTTAGTTGAGAAAAAAAGCACCTCGGCAAACGGACATGCTTCAGCCAACTGTGGGCGCGTCTCAACACACTACAGATGCGCAAAACTCGCCTGGTACGCTTCTTCTCTGACGTTTTTTCCGATTTCCAAACCTCCAAGACCGTTATGTAATTGTCTAGCAAGCGCCGCCCATCTCGAGCACGCCAGCTCATCTCAAGTATGTTTTACCTTGGATTGCTAACGTTTCTTGACCTCAATTCACCTTTCCCCGGTGTTCAAGCTGCTGAAAAAACCCTGGATTTTAGAGTGTTGCTCTGCACACCTTGTTATAACCCATGAGGCCCATAGTTCGATTCTATCAACTATTGGACTAAGCTCTGCCCACCTCGTCGCACGCTTCGCCTACGGCGGAACATGTCCACTTTCCATCAGCAATTCCATGCTGATGTTGAAATTTTTTTCCTGGTGTTGGGGTGCTCTTGATGGATACACCATGCTTGAAGGCAACATTCCGCTCACTTCGAGCGGGAACACATCGCAGACTTGCTCAAAGTATTAGGTTGTCCGGAAAGTTCTCACAAGGGAGGTCTTTCAGGTCGTGGCGCGCTTTTCGGAAATGATTTGTTGCATGTTGTAGGGGTCCATATATGGATCACAAAAATGGGTTTCATTTTTGCTATGCGTTTCTGGGTAGGTCAAAAACTGAGTGCAAAGTTTGCTGGGGAGAAGCGATTTTGAACCATTTTTCCGAGGCTTTTTCTATTCATAATGTTAAGTATGCATAGCAGATGAGACCTTCGTCGACAATGCATCGAAAACAATAAAATTCAAGGTAAAAAAGTACTTTATTTGGCACATAGTGAGGCAGCATTGTAGTTTCTCAAAAGATTCTCGCAACAT